GGGGGGGGGGGGGGAGAGTGTTCCGATATTTGTACTGAAAATTTATAGTTTATTGGTTTGTTCTTTTTAGCTGCATTGAAGTAGTGCAATAAGTTAAAGTGAAACAAGTATATTTTTTTTTATTTTAACTTATTGCACCACCCTTATAGAAATATCATACTAAGAATCATTGATAATTACTTATTATCCAGTATTTTTAATACTGAATAATATTGAAAATAAGTAATAATTATCAATGATTCTTAGTATGATATTTCTATAAGGGCAGTTCAGCAGTGCAGTTAAAAAGAACATATAGATTTTCAATTATTGGAAATGGATGTTGGAACATAGCTTGAATATCGAATTGTTGGACGTTAAATACGGTATGAATCTTATTATTATGTCTTTATGCAACCTTCCCTCTTTTAATCTGCATTTTAATATTCATATTATCTATCATATTAATATTATAGTTACTTATTGATTATTAGAGCAAAATGAAAGTGTTCAAAGTATTTTAGAAGTGTGCTTAATCAATTGCAAATGTTATTTTTTGGATATATCTTTTTATTTTGATGTACTTCACAGGAATTTTTTACATGAATCTCCTTGCTTCTGACGTCATCTTTTCCACATATACTTTATGCGTAATGTTAATGACCTGTTAATGATTTTGTCAACTCGTCAACAACAGTTAATGAGATTACAAAATCCAGCTACAGGAATTTTAATACAACTTCAAGTGATACGGATGTTCTTGCGTGATGGCCTATCAAAGTCGTGTCAAGATGCGCAAGCGCGCGCGCACGGTCACACGCTCCGACCGTGTGACAGCGTCAAGAGAGGGAGAGAGCGAATGAGTAAACGTCAGAAGAGGAAAGAACGCGAAAGGAAGTCTGAGTTAAATCAGATTCTTTTTTCTCCTTACCACGTATGTACATACATACGTGTAGATTTTCCACAGTGTGTAATGTTTCGGTGAGTCGAGTGTGTCATCTCCTACGAGGGCAAGAGTAAATGGAGAGCTGTCAGATGCGGCGTGACGACGCAGTGATCGTGACCGAAAGGCAAGTCGATTTGTTTACACGTTATCGCACGCAAATTACCAATCACACCGGTACGGGGGATCATCGGGTGTTCCTCGTCACAAGGCCTCACAGGCGTCACGAGCTTAGCAGAGTCCTGTTTCGGAAGCAGCGAAGTTTCGCTGCCGCCTTTTTGACTACATTTAACATCATAAGATATATGCGATTGGATCTATTCATCTTTTATTAATTCGATTGTCCTCGCAGACAGATTTGATTGGTTTTTATTATTTCTAAAATTATAGCGCGGAAGCATAGCAAATGAAAGTGCTAAAAATATTATATTAGTATATGTAGTATATTAGTATATTAGTATTATATTATATTAGTATATATTCTACTAATTATATGAAAGAGAATGAGTATATCTATATAAATGTTGGTGATGTTTATACAAATGAATAGAGTTTCACTAAAGGAATTGAAATGTTTCATGTCTATTTACTACTTTTGTCGCTATGAAGATCTCTTGGAACATTTGTGACTGAAGCAGACACTATCATGCCATGTGCCTGCCACTATCGTGTATAATTATTGGAAACGTGACGAAGAGAAAATTAATATGATAAGATTTGATAAGATTATAATAAGATTATGATAAAATTCCTTTAGCCAATTGTAGTTATCAATAAAAGTGAATACAACCTTTTTGTTATAGTAACTGTACCAGCACTGCTTCAAATATATATAATATTTGTATATATTTCTTATAAATTTAAATTTGTCTAGAATATCTTTATAATTTGGAAATTTTAATAAATCTTATGTTGTAAAATATCAATATATATGTTGTGAGGTAAAGTATATAATAGTATATTTAAAGTACACTATATATATAATGTGTTGTAAATATAAAGTATATTTATAATGTATATTTTTTACCAATATAGATATTTACAATATAGATACTTTGCAATATAATTATGCATTGGTAATTCTAAATTGAAGTGAAAACAAAAAAATTTAAGTTTATTCCATAAAATATATTCATTATCTGAACAAATTTTGCAATTTTACAACCAATGTTTTAATTCCACTTTTGTAAAACTGCAGAGATTTTTATCTTTGCAATTATTTTTATATTTACAATTACTCATAGAGAGAATGACCATTATGTTAAAGCATAATGAGATTTAAAATTGATTATAAAATTTTGAAGAGCGCGTGTGCGCATCCATAACTTCAGGCAAAATAAGAGCTCTAAATTACAACATAATATTCGAAGACTAATTAAAATAATAACTCAAAAATTTTTAATATATATCAATTGTAGCAAAATATCTAGTTTTACTTGTAGAAAAGTTTCTTGTATTTTGTGATGTTGTTTAATAAACTGCCAGAGTTTATTTAAGGGGTTCTTTCTACAGATTACTTCGTTTTTCCTTTTTTATTTTATATAATTATGTGAAACAGATTTAGTTGATAATGTGAACATAAAAAGAAATTGTCATGCATAGTCTTTCATGAGAGATCGTTGTGTCACACATATGTGATTTCATTGGTAAATTTGTTAACAGTGTATTCACTAATTTTTAACAGATTAAAAATATATTGATTATTTTCCCGATACAGATGGACAGATTGCGACTACTGCCCGTGGATTTACCTGCAATCACTGTCAGTAGTACTGGAAACGTTAAAGGCAAGGCATCTTTCGTTCGACGATTGGCAATAGGATTTGTAATTCTGGCTATACTAGGCCTTTTATATGTGCCAGCATACCACTCCGCTCAGAGTCCATTCTTAGGCTTAGGTGAGACTCCATCTCCTGCAGAACCTCTTGGCAGTTCACATTCGATAGCATCCGTGGGTATGCATCCATTGGTTAACACACACACACATAGACATGCACACACATACACTTTTCACTTAAGATAATGCAAGTTTGATGAGCTATGAGAATGACCAGTTGAAATATGAAAGTTAAACATTATAATCGGAAAATAGATAAATTCTTTAAATTTGAAAATAGTAATAAATGAAAATGAGTACTTTTTTGAAGTCTGGATGCAATATTTTTTAGTGTATGTATAGTTGACTTATCATGATAATACGTATGTATGATTTAACTCAATGATAAAAGTGTATATTTTAATTGAGTAAGCAATAAAACGCTTTAGTTGATATCTCTGTATGATCTTGAAGTTTCTAATGCTAGTAATTAATTTGCAGCACAATTACCTGGATGGTCGTACAATACCTCAAGAGATCTCTGTGCTTATATCCACCCGGAAAATACTACATCAATTCTAAGTCCTACCAACATTTGCTCACCGTCGCCGTATTTGTTGATAATTATATGTTCGGCAGTCGCAAATCACGAAGCTCGTGCTGCTATCAGAAACACCTGGGCCAACAAATATAACTTAGATCATTTATATAATTCTGCGGTGAAAATAGCATTTCTACTAGGACAAAGTGACAATGACACACTCAATGTAAGTATTTCTGCGCTGTTTCTCTCGTGCGGAATTTTGCGCATGCCATTATTCGTTGCGCTTCTTCCAGAATTTGATCGTTGAGGAAAGTTCCCAGTACAATGATATTGTACAAGAACGATTTTTCGATACATACAATAATTTAACATTGAAGTCAGTCATGATGCTGAAGTGGGTGACATCGAATTGCGATCAAGCCAAGTATCTGATGAAAACGGACGACGATATGTTCGTGAATATTCCGTTGCTCCTACAAACATTGCACTCAAGAACGCAAACTACCGAGACTCTGTTGGGTTCTCTTATCTGTAACGCTAGACCAATATTAGATCCTAAGAACAAGTGGTAAACATCTTACCATTATAGTTATATTCATCAAGATATTACGATGCACTGATGTTAATTTAATTTGCGCAGGTATACACCAAAGTATATGTACCCGGAGAAAACATATCCGAATTACTTGTCAGGCACGGGGTATGTTATGAGCACGAATGTAGCGTCCAAGTTATATCAGGCGGCATTGGTGACACCATTACTGCATTTAGAAGACGTTTACATCACGGGTTTATGCGCGAAGCGCGCAAAGATCCGACCCGTCAATCATCCAGGATTCAGTTACATACCTCGTAAGATAGATCCCTGCGTACTCAGGAACGCCATTACCACGCACAAAGTTAACGCGTCCAATATGTATGTAATTTGGGTGAAACTAAACGACACAAGCGTTACTTGCAGCAATCACACTCGTATCGACAGAAAGCCGCTAACATTGAATCGAAGCGGCAGGAATGCTGGCTATTATGTTTTTAAGAGAAAAACTATAAACCGGTGCATTTAGAATATGTTTCGATATTGATAATGTGATATTGCTTTCATGCATTACACGATTAATTGCGTGATACGAATATGTGGCGTAAAAGTAACGACCTTAATTTTGTAATTTCGAAATTGACAATGCTAGAGAAACACTAGCGATTCTTTTAAGTAATTACGTTTCTTCCTTAACTGCAATGCAAAGATATTTTTTTGAAGGTGATTGTAATTATTCGAATAATCTTTTCAAGCCACGTCTAGTATACGCCATTCACTTTTTGTCTTATCGAGTTTCTGTTGGACGAGTCGAATCGTTGAATATTGAGGAAAGACCTGAAGTTAATGCATCTCCCATTCTAATATCAGGCTGTGTCTATTTTTCATTGTTAATTTATGATTAATAGTGAACTTTTAAGTTTCACATAAGACTATGGCTAATTTATACTGACAATCTGACTGATCGTCGGTTAGCGATTTATTGTCTCCCTCCAGATCATGGTTTTGCATATAATGTAGACACAGAGTGACAGAGAATTTAATTGATTAGAATTAGCGTCAACTGATATTGGTCCTATGAATGGACAACCGGTCCTATGAATTTTTGGAAAGAGGAATGATCGTTCAGACGTTTATCTGTCCTGATTGAACAGATGTTCAAGTGTGTCCGAAGGTGTTTTGTATATTTTTCTATTTAGACCAAAGTAGTATTTAAGGATACGCTGTCAATTAGATCTTTTACATGATTTTACTTTTCTGCGTCTTTGCGTAAGGCACGATTTAATAACGAGAAAATCTTCAACACATGATCTTCAAGAGACAAACGTTATCGTGTTATGAGCGATTCAGTTAAACATTTGGCTTATCGCGTATATGACATTTCCTAATCACACGTTTGAATAGAGTATATTTAATTATAAAATATTCTTCACGTGCAACATAATTTCATTCCTAAATGACTCATCGTTGCGCAATGTTACACACCTGATGTGGTTTGTACACTTTTTTCTTGATGCAACTTGGAACGCAGCCGATGGTCTAATGAGGGAACTTTATTTTGATTAATTCCTAAAAACTAAGTTCTCTCATCAGTTCTGTTCCAGACATAAAAAAGAAGTGTTCAAATTGTATTGAAACCAAGTGTACAGAGATTGAGAATTGAACAGCTGTTATCCGAACGTTACGGAAGAAAGAGGGGGAGAATGGGAATTTTCTCATCTGACATACAGATAGTACCCATATAATATTGTTGCTTCCAGGTACTTATGTAAAATTATTGAAGAATGTAACAAAGTTGAGAGATTTCCCCCATCTCCCTTGAAAACTATTAACCTACATGTTTCAAAATCTCTCGTATAGCTTTGTTTCCTGAACATGTACAATATATAAACTATAACTATCAAAAAATCACTTCCTGTATGTGGTAACGTAAAATGTAGATTTGTTTTTTGTTTAAACAAACTACAATGTTAATGATTTAATCTCAGGTCTCTGACATTGATTTGCGGTCAGATAAAAAAAAATTAATTTTTTTATTGATTGTATTCGAAACATTTGCGTTGAGTCTGCATATTACTGGTAATATGTATTAGTGTTTGGTGAACTTTAAAACAAAATCTTTATTTTTATAATTTTTATTTTTACCTTTTATATATATATATATATATATATATATATATATATATAAAAGAAAAAATATAAACATATATACACACACATATATATATATATATATATATATATATATATATATATATATATATATATATATATATAAAAGAAAAATGTGATATTTTTAAGTTAAAATCTTTTCACAGTATTTTTATTTGTGTTAATAGGAACAGCTTTACAAAAATATGATTTGTTTATTCATTACTGTGTTTATTATGTGTACTGTGTTCACAAGAATATATTATTAAATTTCTGATGTTTATTAAAAATTTTGGAACCTTAAAAATCTCTTAAAAGTTAAAGTCCCTTAAAAGTTTAATTTTAAAGTGATAAAATTATGTAAATGTAATGTACATTTTGCGAATATTCCGTAGGTAGAAATATATTTTTTTTTATATACCTATGTTCAACTCCGGTATATTAAAGTTTTGGATTATTTTTCGTATGTATACTACAATATTTTATTTTTTAAAATTATTTTTTTTTAGCCGCGTTTTTCATATAAAATTTATATGCTTATAGTATGTATTATATATTTGTACATAACGTGTGATTATATACTCTTTCAACAAAAGAATGCACGAATCTGACTGTTTTCATTGGTATCGAAGAATCGTGTAATACATTTATTACAAATAATGTAAACGAATGTCAAAGAATATCATAGTGCGGCGAAAGGTTCAAATAATGATTAAGTAAAGGATGGTTGAGTAAACATCCGTACTGTAACTACCAGCAGAATATCGTTTGAAATGCACAACGCAGTGTGTGTGTGTGTGTGTGTGTGTGTGTGTGTGTGTGTGCATCTTTTTCACTTGATTTGAAGTCGTACATTACTATTTACAAATTTTTAATATATATAATTATACGATATCGTAAGCGATAGGAACAGTTAGCCACTAAGAGCTTGATAATGTAGCCTAATACTCTTGCTAGAATCTTTGATCTAAATTATGATAAGAACTTGTTATAACTTAGTATTTGAATATATAATCCTATCAAAAACGAGAAATTTGTGCAATACGTCGCAGTCATTTTTCGTCATATCAGAATTATGAATTCGGGACAGCACACATACAAATCAGTTTGTAAATCATGCAATTGTTGTGTGTATATTTGCATGCTTCAAAATTAATATATTCCATGACGACGAGACAATTGTAACTTGGCGGCGAGATGAACTACTGAAACGATCACATGGAGTACCTTAGTGGCCTTAGAAAATTTGCTTTATTTTGTAAGATAGACCTGACTAAATAATCTGACTAAAATTATCATTGGAGGAAAATCTTTACGAACTCATCAAAATCTTCGGTGCTATGTAACGTATAAACAAACGTTTGTCATGCTGATGAAAAACTACATAGGTGTAATATAATATACAGTCATCCTGCAAGTGATTTTCGTCAGTCTTCATGTTGGAAATAAAAAGTCAGCCAAGATATAACATTTAAAGCTTCTTTCTTTTTAAGACATGTGAATTTCTGCGTATGCAAGATAGGTCAGAGAAATAGAACGTAAATAGCACACCAATTTATATTTTTTGTGGCATAGCATTTGTGCTATTTATATTACATCAAAAGCGTTTTTAACATTTTAAATAAGGACGTGGGTCTGTACGCTTTTCTGAACGTGCAACAGAAATTGCACACGATTGTCGTTCAATGACAATGTAAATATTGTTACGTTGCATTTCGAATAAAGAACTGATGCTGGAAATAAATGCTCTGAGTATTATTTATTAAAAATATAAGTGTACATACTCTTTGTTACATGTTGCATATCTTTTATTTTACAATAGGAACTTTGTATATATACGATAATTTCAGTAATACGGAATTAATAAGTGCACGCCGATGGCACTTACAATTAACACATTCGTTATCAACGTCACATATGTGTGTGACGCAACAATCTCTCACCAGAGACCTCAGCGTCATATATGTACGACAAAGTTTTTTTTTTTATATATCTATATCATCGAACCAAGTCTGTTTCATACAATTACGTAAAAAAACAAATGGTGGTCTGTGGAAAGAGCTCCAAATAAACTATGATAGCGAATGTGTTAAATTATCATGTAATTTATCAGAATGATACATTAATACAGAATAAATATGATATAAATGTAACCAAATTTGCGATTATATATATATAGATTCTGTTAAAAATTTTTTAGTAAGTATATATATATATATATATATATATATACATATATATATATATATATATATATGTGTGTGTGTATGTGTGTGTATTATATATATATATATATATATATATATATATATATATATATATGGAGCAGTATAATTAAAAAAGATTTAAAAAAAGTTGCATTAAAGTTATATAATACGTGCATATAAATCTGGAAAAAATTTTTGGTTATACCTAGGCAAGTATAACTGCAATTCCATTAATAATTGCTTTTTATTAAATCGGTTTATACATCACGGACTTACTTTCGATGACTCAAAACAATTTGAAACAAATTCTATATTTTTATATGCAATATGAACACAAGAGAAGTTGGAAGTTTTATACATGCATCTATATGCATACTTGCAAAAAATATCATTATAATTATTTGAATATTTTCTTATAAATAAAATTCTGGCATAAATTCGCTTGTTTAAAATGCGCTTAAGTCTCTCATTACGGAATCTTGGATTAATTACGTCAAAAAAAAAAAACGTATACCATTTTCAAATAAAAAATATTTTTATAAAAACACCAGATCGCTTTTAAACATACTTCTAAAATATTTCGAAAACTATCCTTTTCCCTTGACAATCAATAAATAACCTAAAATTAATAGCCAGAAATAATTAACGTTGCAAAATCATGAGAAAAAGAAGGTTAAAGTTAAAGATTACATATCGCGTTAATTTTAAAGTTATTTATTATCTATCAAAGGAAAAAGATGATTTTTTAAATATTTTACAAGTATGTTTCAGTAATCTAAAATGTTCTTTTATACAAATATATTTTTATTTGAAAATGGAACGCAAGAATTCTTAACATTTGTTTTCTCGCTTCTGCGTTATCAATTCAATGTTTCGCGGCAGTGGACTTAATAACATATTTTACATTCCAGATATTCTTAGGTATATATATATATATATATATATATATAAAAGATTAAAAATAGTAAAACATTGAATGTTCTACAAAAAGAAATAAGAATTCATCAGATTAATTAATTTCTTCTTTAAATCATCAATATGCCAATATAACTCAATATAAATTGATTACTATTATTGTACCAATTTTACGAAAATTATAAGTAACTGGAATTATTATTTTTTATCTTGATTAGATATTTTTGTTTGTTTATAGCTTAATCACTAGAACTTTCATATCTGTGTGATCTATACCAGAAATGACTTGATTATTTTGATATATTTATGTCACATCAAAGATAATCAGTCTATAATTTTATCTACTTATATATATATATATATATATATATATATATATATATATATATATATATATATATATATATATATATATATATATATATATATATATATAT